TTTTTTTTTTTTGAGAGGTTTTTGCTATAGGGCGCATGCACTCACCAGAAAGAGAGACAGAGAGACAGAAAGTGAGAAATCACCCCCCACGGGGGGATGGCCATGCGGCAATCCCTTCTGCTCCATTCTCCTCTCGGGATCTTGGGCACGCACACACATGCACCCAGCATTGAATTTAAGCCACTGGGTCCAGGACTCGAACTGTGGTTGACCACATAGGAGTCCAGTGACATAGCCATTACATCATCTGCTGGTCCCATGTAATAACCTTTTTAAAGACCCTATGTCCAAATACAGTATAGTTGTATTCTTAGGTAGTGGGGTTAGGGTTTAAACACCATTTTGGAGGACACAACTTGGCCCATAACAGAATTCTTAAGACCATCTGTAACTTGGTTAGAAAAGAAATTATTTTTTTTGGAAAGACTACTCACAGAATCTGTAAGAAGCCTGGAAAACGAATTGGTAAACAAAAGAAGCAAGACATAATAGCAAAATATGCAAAGGTGTAATATGGATACTGCCACCAGCTTGCCACCAATAGACTTGTAATATTATACATGTATTCTTTCAATACCCTGAAGAACTCCTGAGCTCACCGGAGTTGTTTCTCCTTTTTAAAGACTCTCGGCATTAAGAGGGGATTCTCTGTGGAATAAAGTAATGGGAGAAACTTGTCCCTTTGCTTTTAAAACAAACAAACAAAATTGTAAGAGAGATTTTTGCTGTAGGGCGCGTGCACTTGCCGGAAAGACAGAGAGACAGGAAGCGAGAAATCATCCCCCAGGGGAAATGGTCACCCAGCAACCCTTTCTCCATTCTCCTCTTGGGATCTTGGGCACCCATGCACACGCGCCCAGCAAGAGTTTAAGCCACCAGGTCCAGGACTTGAACTGCCATTGACTATGTGAGAGTTCAGCAACACAACCATTATGCTACCTGCTGGTCCCTTAAAGAAAAATTTTAACGTGATGAGTAACCCCTCCCCAACACACAGGAAAGTATCTTCGAATGTATTTTTTTTTTTTGAGAGGTTTTTGCTATAGGGCGCATGCACTCACCAGAAAGAGAGACAGAGAGACAGAAAGTGAGAAATCACCCCCCACGGGGGGATGGCCATGCGGCAATCCCTTCTGCTCCATTCTCCTCTCGGGATCTTGGGCACGCACACACATGCACCCAGCATTGAATTTAAGCCACTGGGTCCAGGACTCGAACTGTGGTTGACCACATAGGAGTCCAGTGACATAGCCATTACATCATCTGCTGGTCCCATGTAATAACCTTTTTAAAGACCCTATGTCCAAATACAGTATAGTTGTATTCTTAGGTAGTGGGGTTAGGGTTTAAACACCATTTTGGAGGACACAACTTGGCCCATAACAGAATTCTTAAGACCATCTGTAACTTGGTTAGAAAAGAAATTATTTTTTTTGGAAAGACTACTCACAGAATCTGTAAGAAGCCTGGAAAACGAATTGGTAAACAAAAGAAGCAAGACATAATAGCAAAATATGCAAAGGTGTAATATGGATACTGCCACCAGCTTGCCACCAATAGACTTGTAATATTATACATGTATTCTTTCAATACCCTGAAGAACTCCTGAGCTCACCGGAGTTGTTTCTCCTTTTTAAAGACTCTCGGCATTAAGAGGGGATTCTCTGTGGAATAAAGTAATGGGAGAAACTTGTCCCTTTGCTTTTAAAACAAACAAACAAAATTGTAAGAGAGATTTTTGCTGTAGGGCGCGTGCACTTGCCGGAAAGACAGAGAGACAGGAAGCGAGAAATCATCCCCCAGGGGAAATGGTCACCCAGCAACCCTTTCTCCATTCTCCTCTTGGGATCTTGGGCACCCATGCACACGCGCCCAGCAAGAGTTTAAGCCACCAGGTCCAGGACTTGAACTGCCATTGACTATGTGAGAGTTCAGCAACACAACCATTATGCTACCTGCTGGTCCCTTAAAGAAAAATTTTAACGTGATGAGTAACCCCTCCCCAACACACAGGAAAGTATCTTCGAATGTAGGGTAGCAAAAATGAATTTCCGTTTCAATTACCAAATCTACTGTCTAGTGACCCAGGTCCAAAAATGTATTTTAATGTATAATAATTAATGTAATTATTTGAAATTGCTATATCCAAGCAACACATTCATAGTCATCTGCCATTTGGGGTTGACACTATTTTTAAGTTCTTTTATGTGGGGCATTTACTTCAAGTTTGACTATTCTCAGTATTTCCTCACCTATTGCAATCATGGGGACACTCGAATATATATCCCTATTATGCTAGATTTTTGAGTTTGCAATCCATGGACTCACCTTCTAGCTATTTTGTGTAATTTTAGTTCAAATGATTAAGTCAATAAGGAGTAGCGTATGCAGCCCTGTTTTCATTTGCTATTGGAGAACACAAAAACACATGTATCTTATTTCAAAAAGCAGTCAATTCAAGTTAGACTTCATTATTTGTATAGTTTATAAAGAAATGAATAAGGGGGAAGTGCTACCACAGTATGTACTATCAATATATTCAGAAATGTGTATTTTCCACTGGAGTCAAGGAAAACGAAAGATGTTTTTTCTTTACCTGGATTACAATTCATGGAAGAAACAAAAGCATAGGGTAAAGTGAAGCAGAAAGGAGTTAAGACTGAAGCCACTATTTTAACGTTATGAGATTTTTAGCATCTATGTAACTTCCTCATATTTGTTTCTCATAATTCATCCCCTCATAAAAATAATTACCAATAAAACTCTTTGAAAAAACAAAGCTCAAAGTGTACCTTTGGGAACACTAAGAATAGGAAGTTAAGACAATATTCTACTCTCACTGGAAGTCTTAACGGATTCCCAAAAACGTCATATGAAGCTTACAAATTCTGCATATACCATCTTATACAAGTACTTGAGCGGACATTTTAGCATCATTGGAGCCTTGCAATCAATCTTCACCCCCTAAGCCCAGGGGTGACTATGTCATACCTGCATACCTAGGTATGACCTTTTATGGAGACAGTTACTAAGAAATAATCAATCGCACTAAAGGGGGCTTATACTTCTCCCTATGTAAATTAATGAAAAAAATTAAAAACTCTTTTATCAAGTAAGAAAATTCTTGGCTTCACAACGTTTCCTAACAAAAACAATTTTAAATAATGAACAATGTAAGAAAAAATGACAGTTAAGCATTGTACAGTATTAACTAGTCCCATTTATTCATCCATCAAGTACATTTTCAAATAGGACTTATCAATACTTTGGTAACATTAGGTGACACGTATGTGGGCTTTGAGATCAGATTGCCAAAGTTAGAATGCCTGGCTCAGTCCAGAACATAACCCTGATCATCATCTTTCTCATTTCCCTACTTTATCTATAAAATGTAACAGCAAGAATTCCTACCTTAGTGTGCGTGTGATAACTAAATGAAATAATGTATAAAATTGTTCTGCAATTTCTGGCCTTACGAAACACTTCAATTAAGCTCAAACTAACTTTAACTCAACTAAATTCGGTTACTTTCACATTACAGAAGGGCTTTTAGGAATCATCCAGGCTCTTCCCCAAAGTCCAAAAATAACCTAATAAATGACATAGTATTTCAAAGGAGCTGGAAGTGCCTAGTTCTCTGGGATGCCATCCCTCCCGCTCTTTGAGTGAAAGAACCCTTTCCCACTTCCTAATACCCCCTCACTGGAATCTGCAGCACACGGTTCCTGCCGTCCGGCCAGCGCTCAAGAAGGTAGTGGTGTAACCTGGCCCACGAAGCAGCCTTGAGTTGCTGCGCCTGCTCGGTGGTACTCCGGATGAAGTGGTGCAGACGACTATTAACCCGGGTGGCAGAAAAAGCCTCCACTCGAGGTACAGTTGGACAAGGGTCGCCCATTCTCAGTGAAAGGTACCGAAAGGAGCACAGACCCGCACGGGTCCCACCCTCCAGGTCCAGATTCATTCTTAGGCCTGCGTCAATAAGGGTGTGTGTGCGACATCACGTGTGACGCGCAGTCATTTTCCCACGTCCCGCCCCTGCCCCTCCAGGCCAGGCACAGCAAAGGCGCAGGCGCAGCTCCGCTTCCGGGCGCCGCTCCTTACCGCCCACAATGCTCTGCGGCACCGACCTGTCGCAAAGACCGCGTTTCGGCGGCGAATGAGCGACTCGCTTTCCGTGCGGTGAGGCGGCGACGACTGCTCGGTTTTCCTCCTCCTCTGCCGCGGGGCCAGCTCCCCTGACGGTATCCATCTGCCCTTAAGTCTGGCCGGTACCCCTTATCTCCGCAATGCCCCCTAAGAAACAGGCTCAGGCCGGGGGCAGCAAAAAGGCGGAGCAGAAAAAGAAGGAGAAGATTATCGAAGTGAGTACCCACCCCCTCCCCCACTCACGCCGCGAGCCCTCGAAGCAGCAGCCCTGAGCTCCTGGCTGCACTGACCTCCGCGCTCACGTCTTCAGGGCACCTGTCCCTCCGTCCGGCTCTCCCTGGCCCACTGCCCCTTCTGGAGCCCCCTGATGACGCTCGCTGTCTCATTGCTATAGTGACTCTGGTGCCCCCGCACTTGGGCTTTGCTTTTTCCGCCCACACACGCGCGCCTTCACCCACCCGGCTTCAACGTGACCACCCCCCTCCCCAGGCTTGCCCCAAGGTTTTGTCGTTTGCTGGTCCCCTCAAAATTGGAGAGGTCCTAGGGTTATGTTTAAAGAATTACTCCGATCGGGCGAGGGGCTAGTCTTTCTAGAAGGCCGATTCATGACAACTATTTGTATTCTTCATTTCTTTACTCATCACCCTGGGGTAGTACTCCCCCGCCCCAACAGATTATTATTTCGTGGCTATTTTGATCCACTTCTAAACTGTTTAAAGTCCCATAGAGATTGGAGGGCTGTTTTTATTTTTTCAGATATTAGCCCAGCGTTGTGTACATAGCGCTTGATACCTGTATTCTGAGTTAGATCAAATAGGATAACACTTTAAGAGATTAAATGTCATTGTCACTAGTTTTGTTAAATGCCCTTACCTCAGTTTGATTTTGATTTAACACATATGTTTTTGCACTGAGCCTTTAGCCCTTTAGTTGCTGAGGAATGCTATTGGCGTTCTTATACTTTCTATCCTTGTTTTCTAACGACTCGTATCAGCGAGTTTCCTTAAGAGAGAGAACCACGGTTGTCACTCCGTAAATATATATGGCTCCTAAGAAGATGTCTTCCCCACAATTTCTAACTATTAATTTTATTTATTCATAGTTAAAAACAAATAGTACTAAGGGTATAATCGGAAAAGACCATTTCCCTTAAAAAGGTTTATCTCAATATTACGTTAATGGCTTTTGGTGGAATAATTAACTATTTAAACAGGACCAAAATGGATGTTGGGCACTTTGAAATGCGATATTTGTTTATAACTGATGATTGTTTTTAAATATTTAGTTTTGGTAGCTTTGAAAATTAGCAGTGAAAGTCCTTAATTTCATTTCAGAACTTGTTTTTGTCAAATTTGACATAATTTTTAAAGCGCCAAGTTCCAACTGTAAAGTAGAACCTGTCTTCCTGTTGCTAATTTGTACTATTGATAACTGTCATAAAGTACTATAGCCATTTAAAAACAAAATGTCAACACCATGCCTGTGTTTATATCACTCTTTTTTTTTTAACAATCTGGATTCCTGGCACTTTGGTACGCTTTTAAGGATAGTGATCTGATGGCATTCTAATGTTGTGTAAACCAAGGACATATTAGGGATGTTATTTGTTTGTGTGTGTGTGTGTGAGAGAGAGAGAGAGAGAGATTTAGTTAACATAGTAGACTGTAACACTAAGTAAAATTGTCTTAAGGACATAAAAATAAGTATCGCATAACATTTGAAATACACTTTACATATTAAAGAACTTTATGTATGTGTATCTGTTTGATTTTTAATTGGTAAGACTGATATTTTTGTTTTAGGAAATGATATGTGAAAGTTATTTAGTATCCTACCAACTCTTAAAATGATACAAATGTTATGATACCATCCATCTTGTAACAAGATTAGTTGTAAGGCAAAGAGAAAGCAACTTAAATTTCATTAATGAAGAAGTAGCAAAAGAAAAAAGCAAAAGAGGATAATTCATTCTTTAAGTAACAAAAAATACCAAGAGAGTGCTGAAATAAGCCTGGTTTTGTGTTGTTGTTTTTTTCACATTTAATATATATGATGAGAATTTACTTGTTTTTGTTTTTAATGGTAGTAAGGTTTTGCAGACTCAAGTATGCTACATTGTTGTTTTGCTATCACTGGAGAGTTATAACAACATTGTAAATTGTACTATTAAAGCATTTGTGAAATTTACCTAAAGGCCAGTGATATCTCAATGATTGAGAGATATAGTAAATTCAGCTCCCAGTCAACTTTCATCAACAACAGCACTTTAACAATTTGTGTGTAGATTTATAAAATTTCAACCAGAAATGATTTTTAATCCCAAAATATTTAAAATTTAAAGTAAAATATATTTTATAATGAACTCATAATGGACATAAATGAAACCTAGTTCAAATAGGTTTTGATTTCTATGTTTTAAGTTTTGAAGGAAAATATTAATACTACTTTAAAGTCCATTTTCATGGAAATATTAATACTCATTTTCAGAGTCTGATTAAACTTCTTTTGGAAGATTTTATAGAAAGATGATTTGAAGTTCTAACTTGATTAAAATGAATAAATAAGTGCTTAAAATAAGTAGTGGTCTTAACTACCTTTTCCTTATTCTATACCTTTATTGCTTCCACTGCTCCCGTGAAAAACAACATGGAGCTTTAGTGAACTGTTAAGTGAAGAAAGTAACAAAACACATGAGAGGTAGCATAATTTAATGAAAGGAGCACCTGTTTTGGTATCCAGTTGACCTGGATCTAAATCTCATATTTCAAATTTCTGTACCTTTGGACAAGCTACATGATCTATCTGAGCCATAATTCTCATCTATAAAATGTAGCTAATTCCCATAGTATTTAAGAGTTGTGAGTTAAATGAGGTAACTTACATATGGAAAGTGCTGTCCTATGGCATATACCGTATATTCAGTATAAATTAGCTATTAAAAAGAGCTAGGTAGGGGAAGTAATCGTAGAATGACCTGTCCTGTCTACATGGTGCTTACTTCCCTCTGACCTGAATAATTTTTATTACCTACATTATTTCTATGCCGTTAGACTCTCCCAGATTTTATTAGTTTGTTTACATGAATAAGTGTTCTATTTCTGAAATGAATATGTCAAAGAAGGTTATGGTTCTGTTAGACATTAGTCTCAAAAGCACCATGTGCTTTCTTAGAGCTAAAATTTAATGACAGATTGAGTCAACTTTAAGCAATAGAAAAGAAATAACCTTTGGAATTAGGGTGAACAATAAAGGCTATCCAGGAAAGGACTTGTAGCAGCAAGGAAATATTAATAAGAACCTATAAATATGGGATCCAGGTGTATTTAAAAAATGAAGAAATTACAGTTACATATGAATAACTTCACCTGAGGTCCACTGCTGATTGCTTTCTAAAACTGGATTAATCAGTTACAGAATATCAACAATACATTTGACAGTGTATTTCAGGGAAAACTGATAGGGTAAAACAATGTCAGCTCTGCTTACTCTAGGGTCCCAAGAGGTAGACCCCGGTTCTTTTGCAGTGCTATTCAGTACTGATCTGCGTCTTCCCACTCACCACCTCCTTTTCCCCCATAACATCTTACATTAGGAATGGAGGATGAAGTATTCTAAATCACAAACCATCCCTATGGAGGTATTGTTGGTATCCCAGATCCACAATAGGGTATTTTGAAAGCTTTTTGTGTACCACTAATTTGATGACTTAACCAGGTTTTTCTGGGAAGTATTGGGTTGGGAAAGTCACAATACATTTTTGCATAGAAAAATACATTATGATTTTTCCAACAATGTAATAGTTTTCATGATGCAAAGAACCAGGACTTTGCTTAGAGTGCAGTGTAACTTGGTTCAAATATTTTGTTACTTAATGGGGAATGCTTACTAGACCTAACACAGTGTTTAGGGGTAAAATAGATAAGAGAGAGAGACACACCAAATGATGTGTCCGGTGTTTTCAGATATGAATTCTCTCAATACTGTTATTTTCCATTTCCAACTTGTCCACGTAGGAGATGTTCTATACCTATAATTCAGTCATCCTTCTGTAGCCACAGAGGATTGCTCCCATGAGGCCAACCACAGTTCGAATCCTGGACCTGGCAGCTCGCTTTCTCACTTTCTCTCTCTCATCCTCTCCCTCTGTGGTCAAATTAAAAATAAATAAAGTATAAAAGAAAAAAAAGAATTATTAAAAAAAATAATGTTGGGAGATGGGTGAACAGGTGGTTAAGACATTGAACTCCCACATGGCTAATCACAGTTCGAGTTCTGGACCTGGTGGCTTCAGAATCATGCTGGATTTGTGTATGTGCGTGCCCCAAATCCTAAGAATGGAAGAGACGAGACTGTAGCATGGCTATCCTCCCAGGTGGTGATTTCTCTCTCTCTCTCTCTCTGGCAAGCACATTCACCCTATAGCAAAATTCTAAAACAAACAAGAAAGTTAGAAGTAGTTAAGACTACCTCTACAAGAATAGGAAACGTATTTTCTAGGGGATATTAAAGAAAACGTATTTTCTAGGGGATATTAAAGAAATGGATTATTATCTGTTGAAGATAAGGTGTATATTCTCAACTGGACTGGTGAGAAATGTATACATGTTGGAATATTCACTTTGCAAGCTAAGTGACATGTGATTGAATGTATAAAATAAATTGAAACATAAAATAAAATGATTATAAATAAAATAAATGAAGAGCCCTCTCTGCTTCTGGACACTAGGCACTGATTATTGCCGATTTCCATCTAAAAGCTATTGAGAAAAGTCCTTTGTATTTTCCTAATTTTTGGTGGCATCAGGCAGTCCTTGGCATTCCTTAGCATAGATTTTGCCAGTCCAGTCTTTCTACCTCTTGTTTCACATTGCCTTCTTTGTGTCCTTCCTCCTCTTCCTACAAAAACACCAATATTTGGATTTATGGCCCACCCTAATCTATTATGACCTCAACTTATTATAACCTCAAAGACCTAATTTCAAACAAAGTCGTGTTTAGGGTTAGAGGGACATGAATGGGGCAAGGTGTGGGGAAAAACATCATTCAACCCACCAGAACCCCCAAACACACATGCTTGTGCAGTGGCTTCTAAATGTCTTTGTACTGCATACTTATTTTTTTTTTCAATAGGGTGTGTGCACGTGCCAGAGACAGAGAAAGTGAAAGTGAAAAAGTGCCCCCCGGGGAAGATGACTACACTTCATTCTCTTAAGATTTGGGGTGCCCATGGCATGTTTTTCAAGCTGCCAGGTCCAAGATTCAAACCATGCAGTAAGCCACATGGAATCCAGACACCTTAATCTCCATGCCATCTGCTGGCCTGCACTGAATACTTTTAAAATATGCATAGATAGCTAAAAATGAAAATTTTGACTAGGATGTGGTGAGCATTCTGTAAATGATAGCTGCTATTAATAGTATTCTCAAGTTAATAATATTTCATATTTAAATAAGGTTTGGTTTTTAGTTGGTTATTTTCAACTTTAATATGGCCATTTTAGCAACAGCTAGGAATGTGTACATTTCATTAGTTTGATTTCTTTATTGAATTGTTCATAAGAGGATCCAAAAAAGTCCAGAACTGAATGTACCTTTTTCATACTGATGCAGTGTTCCTTAAAATATGTTTAGTAGACCATAATCTCTCAGCATTCTCTCATAAAAATTCATTTTGAGATAAATTAAGATTTGGAAATACTTCCCACTATATCCTCTGGTAAGGGTTCTAAGATATCTTGTACTTAACGAATTAAGAATCCTATTTATTCAAGCATTTCTAAGTCTGCACATCCCATAAAAATGGTCTTCCAAAATGCACTTTGGAAAAAGCATTATGGGGTAACAGGTTTAATGATAGAAGTGTATGATTGAATTGTAAAGGATCCTGGGTGATGTTTTGAGGTCATTTGTTGCTTGATGTGATGTTTTTGTGTTTTTCATGTCTTTGTATGACATAAGAAAGAACACTTTTCTTATTAAATAAAAGAAGGAATCATTTTTAGGTATCAGGAAAGTAGACATTAATATAAATTGCTAAGATATTTCTATGTTCTGTCTCATTTAGGACAAAACTTTCGGTTTAAAAAATAAGAAAGGAGCGAAGCAACAGAAGTTTATTAAGGCTGTCACTCATCAAGTTAAATTTGGTCAACAAAATCCACGTCAGGTAAATAATTTAAATTTCCATATTTTATTATGGTTATACTATTATATAGTGTCTTACAGATTAAAATGGTTTGTGTTCTCATGTTATTTCAAAATGGTATCCTACCTAAAATTTTTCTCATCTTGTCTTTTTTACTCAGCAGTGCTTCTTGGATATGCCTCCAAGCCATTTTGGTAGAGCTCTCATTCTAATTATGGCTTCATACTTTGTTACCAGTACAAGTGTGCTATATCATCCATTTCACTATTTATAGGTGACCATTTCTGTCATGTTACTAGCTTTCTGACACTAAGAACACTTTTTTTAAGAGAGATTTTTGCTATAGGGTGCGCACATTCACTGAAGAGACAGAAAGCGAGAAATCACACCCCCCACCCCCCTCCAGGGCAGGTGGCCACTGCACAATCTCTTCTCCATTTTCCTCTCAGGGTCTTGGGCATACACGCTTACACATCCAGTGAGAGTTTTAAGCTTAACTATGTGGGGGTCCAGCGACATAACCATTACACCGTCTCCTGATCCTAAGAACAGTTAGCAAGAAATATCGTGTGTATATATATATATATTCTTACATGAGTTTGTGCATTTAATTCTGTGCATAAATTATCTAGTAGCCCTTTCCAGATCAATAGAAATTAGTTTCTAATTTTAATAAATTTACCTCTACTTTCCATAGAGGCTATATTGCTTCACATTTTCATTTGCAGTGCAAGAGTAATAAGTATTAGAGTTCTTTTTAATTTTACCCAGTCCTGATAAGTATAAAGTATTATCTCATTGTTAGGTTACCCCATCATTACTAGAGAATATCTTTTCATGTACTTGTGAGCTGTTTGGATTTGCACTTCTGTGACTTACCTATCAAATCTTTGGGTGTTTGGTTATCTTTTTCTTGTCAGTTTATGAGTTTTATCTTTATCTGTATTGCAGATTATTTGTGTTGTTTCTGTTATTTTTTATGCAACAAGTCTTCTTAGATTTTACATTTCCAGCTACATCTAGCTTTTAAAAATATGGTTAAAATGTCTCCCCTGTCACTGGATTTTGCATGTTTTTCTTAGACTTTTTTCCTAATTATTTTATTTTCATAGTCTGTAATTTGTCATATAAGTAAATTTTATTTATCATTAAGTTTGTTTTCTTTTAAATGAATAGCTTTCATGCCAGCGGCATTTATCCCACTGAATCAAAATGCTGCTACTGGCAAGTATTAAAGTCTCAAATATGTTAGGATCTATTCCTGAATTCTCTTTTCTATTCTTCCTGTCTGTCTCTAGTGTCACATTCATTTCTGTTATAGTGGCCTTCTACTGTATTCTGTTAGTTAGAAAGGCAAGTTCTTTCCACAAACTATTACTCCTTTTCCTTTTTTGCTATTTATTCTTTAATATGATTCACAAGTTATTTTATCTATTGGCAACTTAGAAAAAAAAAAAAAAACCTTAGGTTCTTTCTTTAGGTTCTTGAGACCTTTTACACGTAAAGATTTTATAGAACATGGGTCTTTATTAAGTACTTTTTATTCCCACCATCCTTTTATCACATTTTCTAACTTTATTTTTTAATACAGAAGAAAGGAATTAATTTTTCTAGTGTTTAACTACAAATTTTTCTCTTTAGAGAATACCAGAATATATACTTGTGAGGCAGTTAATCCCTGTCTGAAACAAATTTCTCTGATTTATACTGTCTGCAAATTATTGCCCAACTTTCCTCTCCACTTAGCTTGATGCTAGAGCTATCATTAAAACTTGCTCTTCCAAGATACTAACTTAATAACCTGGTATAGTAAAAACATACGCTCAGACCTTGGAGTCAGATTCTCTTACCTTTTTCTCACATGATCTTAAATCATTTAGCAACACTAGTCCTTATATATATAGTGGAAGGGCAGTTATCCTTTGTAGGGTTTCTTTGGTGCTTAATTGAAAATTTAAGTCTTCCAACAAATACAGGTATGTTAGAAAAATACTCTTTTTTCCCTTAGCCCCTTTGACAGTCCTGTTCCCTCTCTCCTGACTTTTTTTTCTAGTGGAAAGTATTTTGAGTGGTGATTTCAGGTATCATAGACCTGGAAAATCCATCAGATTTGTAGCAGTAGTTAAGTTTGATAGGATCAGTGTTGTGGTTCTGATACTCTTGAGTAACTAGGCTTTCATCTGTGAACATGGAGTATCTAACTGCCATATGTAACTTTGGAAATGAGCAGCAGTCCTGCTCGTAGAGCTGGATATAAGGTGCTTTGTCCTAGTCCCAGCATTGTAGACCACAGTCGTTCTCTATATCTTCTCCAGACATCTCTCTCCCCACAGGTAAGGAGTCAATGAGACCAAGGGGATAGATCCACTCAGGTTTTACACCAACTCTCCACAGCATCTCTGAACCTTCTTTCAGGGCCTGGGAAAGCCTCTTCTCTGTGGTCTTTTTTCATTCAGAGTGATGTGTGGACAGAGGTTAGATCCATGCCATTTCCTCACCTACACTTTCCACCTCTTCCTCCAGATAAGGTGGGATGAGACAATCTGAGAAGAGGAGCCAGGGGCTGACTCTCTTTTTACTGCCATGGTTCAGTGTGGAACACCATGGAGCCTGAGCACTTTAATTTGAAACCTGTTCTTCCTAGTCATAAGGGTATAAACCATATTTATTTAGTGGTTTAATTTTTAACTTTTAAATATTTAAGATAGAAGGTTTGTGGACTCTAGGCCCCACAAATGGTTGATGGACCTAATGAGCAAAGAATACTTTTATTGGGACCAGCAGTTAGCATAATGGCTATGTCGCTGGACTCCCATGTAGTCGACCGTGGTTCGAGTCCTGGACCTGGTGGCTTAAACTCAAGCCGAGCACGTGTGTGTGCATGCCCAAAATCCCAAGAGGAGAATGGAGGAGAAAGAATTGCGGCGTGGCTGTCCCCCCTGGTGGTGATTTCGCGCTTTCTTTCTCTCTGTCTCTCTCTTTCTTTCTGGCGAGTGCACGTGCCCAATAAGAAAAAACCTCTCCAAAAAAAAGAATACTTTTATCAAAAATAAAGTGATTTAATTTTTTTCCTTTTAAAAATCATTTTGTTTAAACATAAGCAACCATGTGATCAGAGTCAGGATTTTAGGTTCGTTTGACCTAATTCATCTATTCTTTTCCTAAAATTTCCTCTTTCTTGAACTTTTCTTATCATCATTTCTACCAGTTTGGTTTTTTTTTGATCTATCTAGGACTTATTAGGTTCTCTTGACTCATTCAATATTGTACTCTTCCAGGAATTGCCTTTTGCTCTTGGTCCTTTTTATGCTGTTCTTGAGTAATCTCATACACACCCAACATTTTAATCAATTATTATCTTTTCACTGGTATTTCTAAAGTCTTTATCTCAAACCAGACCCTCTCTGCTTTCATTGGAATCACTGTCCATGTCCAGCTACCCTCTAAATAGCTTTACCCATATGGCTCTGTAAGTGTTTCATACTTGTTATGTCCAAAACTGAGCTCATCTTTGCCTCCTACCCTGAAACTTGTTCCTCCTGTATTCCCTGTCTTGTTTGACAATACTAACCATACATGTGATAATCCTAGACTCCACCTCTTCCATACTTTAGGTTCAGTCATTTAGTCCTATCACCTCTGCCTCCTAAAGAACTCTGTCTCATTTTCCCCTTCCTTACTACTAATGCCCATTTTTGTTTGTTTGTTTGTTTTTTGGAGAGGTTTTTGCTATAGGGCGTGTGCGCTCACCAGACAGACACAGAGAGACAGAAAGCGAGAAATCACCCCCCGGGGGGATGGCCACGCCACAATCCCTTCTCCTCCACTCTCCTCTTGGGATCTTAGGCACGCACGCACACGCACCCGGCGTGAGTTTAAGCCACCGGGTCCGGAACTCAAACCATGGTCAACTACGTGGGAGTTCAGTGACATAGCCATTACGCCAACTGCTAGTCCCACTGCTAATGCCCATTTTTAGCTCTTGTGATTGCTTGCCTACAGCAATTGCAGTAGCCTCTTTGCCATCATTGTTGGATTTCTAGTTGATTCTCCACAAAGCTGCCATTGTATTTTTTATAAGATACCACCTGATTTTGTCACAGAGTAACTTTAAACTACAAAGTTGTACCCTGTTACCTGCTAACACAGGCCAAACTTGTCATTGCCTTTTCTCACACCTTGTTCCTCTGGTCCCTATGTCTTTGCTTTGGCTGGCTCTTTCTGCATTCCTTTCTTGCCCATTAGAACTCATCCATAAGATAATTTGCTAAATGTAATTTTCTTAGGCATATAGACATTCTTTGTTCCCAGAGCACCATGTATTATATTAGTTATTGACATGTCTATCATTCCACTAATTTCTGAGCTTCTTTAAATAAGCATCTTTGCCTTTTCATCTTTGTATTCCCTGTCACCTAACATAGGACCTGACATATAAATGTTTGGATGAGTCCTCTAATCATATTAGGTATGTAAATTGTGTGCCCAGAATGATGTTATATGTCACCTTTTTTTTTTGTCATTTAATCTCTTGTATTTATGTAGCCCAGTGTTTTTCCACAAGAGTGCTGTAAATATTTTGGGTGGTCCAGTTCATTGTTTAGTACTATACATTTTAGGATGTTTGCATCTCTGATCTTGAGTGTTTCCATACACTCACGGTAAGTGGTCCCTGCTTTTACAGGGAGAATATCCCAGGTGAAAACCATTTGCTATTGCTGGGCATGTAGTAAATGCTTAATAAATGCTTGTTGCCATAAGCTTTTGAATATGCTTTGACTAGGCATGATACCACATATACACACACACACCCAAAAAAAGTTTATTACAAGGTTTTAGCAATTTTACTTAATAGTTAACCACAACATTTAATATACACTGCAGGGCCATTGTAATACTAATGTTAAGTGGCATAAGGACTGCAGTCTTATGAATATGCAAATATCCTTGTTTCATAAATAATTATTGTGTAGTAAAAACAATTTTGTAAACAATCAAATTGACATGTTCAATCTGGGAATATTTTAGGTAGCACAGAGTGAAGCTGAAAAGAAATTGAAGAAAGATGACAAGAAGAAAGAATTACAGGAGCTAAATGAGCTGTTCAAACCTGTAGTTGCTGCTCAAAAAATAAGTAAAGGTAAACTTTAAACTTCAGAGGTATTATTTTTATCAAATGTGGTTCATATTAAAACTCTTGAATTTTTTTTATTTTATTTCTTTTCTTCACTAGGGCTAGGGTTACCCCAGCAGTCCCTCTACACAGCAATCCTTGCCCCAGCCTCCCAGCCAGCCAGTGTTAATCACAAGCACCTGTCCTGTGTTCAGTTTGACCCAGTATGTGAACCCAGGCCTCTCATGATCAGTATCTCATCGTGGAAAGCTCTTAACTCTGTCACTATGTCTGGACCCCTGGATTTGTTTCAATTTATTTTATTATCTTTTTTTTTTAGATTATAAGCCAATTGTGTCTGCTATAAAAATGGTATTTTCTTTGTCGAAATAATCTACCAATAGCTTGCTTATACTTTCTCTGTGTGTGTGCACAGCTACTTACTTTACAACTATAATTTCAGCCACAATTAAGGCAAAATTAAGGAGTTAGGCATTACTAATTATATTATCCAATCCTTAGTTGTAACCAAGGCAGAGCTATAGTTGGGTAAAGTTTAAGTCCCATATTTTGGGCAGTATTCTTTCATATATATTTGTTTCTCTTGTCTTCTACCTCTGACTCCAGCTATGAGTGACTATGGCATAACCTACGTATTTGTTTCGTTCTCCACTCCTGCAGTCTCTTTAAGAATGAAAGAAACAAAAATAGACATCAAATGCTACAGACAAAACTTTAAAGAAGTGTTTTACTAATAACCTAGAAGTGATATTTTCCTCTCACATCAGTGACTGGAAAATAAAAAGTTAACCAAAGTAATTATATCCCAGATAAAAGTTATTTTTAATGAAGTAGCTAATTGTAATTGAAACCCTGTATGCTGTCTGATATAGGTGCAGATCCCAAGTCTGTGGTCTGTGCATTCTTCAAGCAAGGACAGTGTACTAAGGGAGATAAGTGTAAATTCTCTCATGACTTGACTCTGGAGAGAAAATGTGAAAAAAGAAGTGTTTACATTGATGCAAGAGATGAAGAACTTGAGAAAGGTAATTTTTTTCATCATTTGCTCTACATGTCTATTGCTTTTGGTTTGTTAGTAACTTGAAGAACATTTCCATTGTAGTATGATTATGTTTTATAAAGAAACTTAATTGGATTTGTTGTCACTTTTCATAAAATTTGAATTTACCATATTACACCCTTTGAAATGAAGATAGTTTAAAAATCAGTTACTTTGCATTTTTCTGTATCCTTTTCTTCTTATACTATACTTGCATTTGCCTGAACTGTTGGGGAAGCTTTGATAAATATTCCCACAACACTGTTTATTCCTGCATTTGGTGTTTTAAAGAAAAATGTGTTAGATCATGATTCTTAACACTATTCTTGTCTTTTTAAGGAGTTAATGTTTTCTGGGAACAGTAGATAAAATTACATGATGTAAGGACAGCCAGTGACATAGTTATTGGGACAGCTAGATCCACATGGCTGACTGTGTGTCAAGTCCCAGATTCAGTGGCTTGAAAAACACACGAGGCATGCATGTGTACATTGCCATCATCCCAAAAAGAGGAAGAAATGAGGGAGAAGAGATTAAGACATGACTTTCCTCTATAAGCAGTGCATTTTCACTCCCCCCCCCCAACCCGTCTCTCCCTTTATCAAGTGTACAGACCTTCTGACAAATTTAAAAGAATTACAGTTTTTAATGTCCATATGTCTTTTTATTTAGATACTATGGATAATTGGGATGAGAAAAAGCTGGAAGAAGTAGTGAACAAGAAGCACGGTGAGGCGGAAAAGAAAAAACCAAAAACTCAAATAGTATGTCCTTTTCTTGACTTGAGTTGCTGTGGTATTTATCATTAGGGAGAATTATGTGGCAAGGTATTTGCTGCTATTTTCTATCTGGATTATTTAAGTTATTGGAAAATTTCATTTCATCAAGATGAGGTGCATTGAGCTTTGTTTTTGGGATTTACAAGTTAGGTTTACTAAATTAGATTCTTGGTCAAAATAGGTAGCTTAACCATGTGATTTAATTCCTTTAAATGACATTTCTTGAGATCATCTTATTTTCTGAAATTTAACAATACAATCGCATACTTAGATAATTTTTTTAATTTATTCCTTCATTGAACATCTCTATAATGTGGCTTTTCCACATATGCATATATGACACTCAAGTCAAGGATATTACTATATACATCATTTTCAACAGAGAAATTTACCTTCTTTTCTCTGTACAGTGTTTCTTCCTTTTTCTTCTCCCATACATCCTCTACCATCTATTTTTCTCCCATGCAGTCTCTGGTGTCTACACTTACCCTCTCTAGTATCATATTTTTAGATCTTTCTATTTCTGCCATAGAGTCCAGACATTCAGTATATATTGAGTGGGGATATACAGTATGTGTCTTTAAGTTTGGCTTATTTCACTTAGCATTATGTTTTCTATATGCATCCACTTTGAATCAAACAGTAGGGTCTCATTGTTCCCTATGGCTGAGTAATATGCCATAATATATATATGCTGCAGTTTTTCAACCCAGTCATCAGTTCTTAAGCACTTTGGTTGATTTCATATCTTACCAATTGTGAATAATGCTGTAATAAATATGGACATGCAATAGTTTCTCTGACTGTTTTCCTATCTTTTGGGTAAATACTATGGAGTGGGATTACTAGGTCATATGCTAATTCTATTTGTGGGTTTTCGAGGAGTCTTCATACTTTTCCCACAATGGTTGCACTAATTTACATTCCCACTAATAGTGCATGAGGGTTCCCTTTTTACCACAGTCTCGCCAGCACATTTGTCATTCTTTGTTGTTTTCTGTTTTATTTGTTTGTTTTGTTGTTGTTGTTGCTTTGATCATAGCCATTCTGGCTAGGATTAAATAGAATCTGCTTGTTTTTATTTGCATTTCTTTTATGACAAGGGAGACTGGACTTTCTTCATATGCATTTTGGCTACTCATGTGTCTTTCATGGAGAGTTGTCTGTTCACTTCATTTGTCCATTTTTTTAATTGGATTATTAGTTTTTTTATAGGAACACTGCTTAATTCCCTAGATGTTTTTATTATTAATCAGATAAGAATTCTTATTTTATATCATGAATGGAGGGAGACCTGCTAAGCTTAATGATTTTTTCCATTTTAATAGTAGAGAGAATTTTTTTAATTGCAAGATTTAAAACATTATATACGAATTCTAAAATGTGTTTTTGGTAGATAGTGGCTATAATATACCAGGAAACGTTACTTTAAAAACTTGTGCCGGGCTGGCCCCTGTCATGGTGGTGCTTGATCTCACAAATCCATCTGTGCAGTTCAAGTCCCAGACTTCCTGGCTTGAAAAACATCCCAGACACATGTGCATGTGTGCCCAAAATCCTAAAAGGGGAAAGGAAGACAGGATTGTGACATGGCCATCGTTGGGGGCACTTTCCCTCTCTTTCTCTCTCTTTTCTTATAAACTTATGTGCCCTCCAGCACACTGAAAATAAAAACAAAGAATTGGTACCTTATTTCTCAAACTCTGCATTTATGTACACACATTCGCCTGTAGCACAGATACTATGAGAAATCTTGTGTGCTAGAAAAAATCTTAAATCCTAGTTTCATAGACATCTGTTACTTTTTTTTTTTTCAGGAAAAGAATATTGCTAGTTGATTTTTCCCTCTTTTTTGTAAAACTTGTTATCTGAAGAAGCTTCAATACAGTTGACTCATGTACTCTTTCATGTTTGGAATGGTCATTGTCCTTTGTGTTCCTTTTACACCTTGCTCCCTTGCAACCCTGATGTAGGAGACTGCCTACATAGTGTTTATATCTTTACGGCATGTGATTAGTTTTTATAGGAAAGATCAAACAAAAAAAATCAAACTTTGGGATTGTATTTACAAGGCTAACTGAAACAAGTATTTTTCATATAGTTCAAAATGTAGAACTATGTCTAAAATAGAAATTTCATGATGATCCTCTCTGAATGGAATTTACCATTGTGAAATATTTTAGGGTCAATTTTTATTTACATTTCTGCACTAAAAGGTGTTCTGTTCATGAGCACCTAGCCTCAGTATGTGAATGGAATGTATTTACTCCTTATACTTAAGCATTTACCTTGGAAATGGATTACACTGAACCACTACTTGTGAATAATTTTTGTCTTTTTAGGTGTGCAAGCATTTTCTTGAAGCTATTGAAAACAACAAATATGGCTGGTTTTGGGTATGCCCTGGAGGTGGTGATATGTGCATGTACCGTCATGCACTTCCTCCTGGATTTGTCTTAAAAAAAGACAAAAAGAAAGAAGAGAAAGAAGATGAAATTTCATTAGAAGATCTCATTGAAAGAGAGGTAACTATGATCTTTTTCCTACCATTAAAAAAAAAATTGAAAGCAGTTCAGCCCCATAGCTTCATGGTTAAGGGAGCAAGATCCCATATAGCTGGCTGCTTCAAATCCTAGCCCTGACAGCTTGAAAAACAGGTTGGGCACATGTGTGCATGCCCAAAATCCCTGCAAGATGTAGGAGAAGAGATTGTAGTGTGACCCACTCTATTGAGAGGTGTTTTGTCCGTTTCCTCTCTCCCACTCTTCTCTTTTTGTGTCTCAAAAATGCAATGCCCTCTGGCAACGAGAAAAAGCAATGAAAGTAGTATTTGTTGTAGAATTCTAACATTTACCACTTGGGGGCGATAGCATGTTATTATGAAAGGGAAAAGAAATATAACCTCTTCCCAGAGTTGCCCTAACTTTTACCTGCCGGGGTCCAGCCTCGGTGGTGGTTGAGACTCGTACACAGGAAGGCGACATGGGTGATCAGGAACAAAAATTAGACAAAGACTTCAATGCCTCTTAGCATGTTCTCAGCTGGCTACAGCCAGAGCTAGCTCCAGACTGCAGCCCAGTGGCTATTAAAACATACGTATTTATTGAGGGATGTTTAGGAAGTAAGGGGAGTGAGGGGAAGTGAAATTTTACTTTAAAAAATAGGAAATACAAACCACGGAAACAATCATTATAAAACATGCTGTTTGTCTTGTCAGATCAGGTAAAATCAATCACAGTTCTCAGGATAAGGAAGTTCATTTGTCTGTTGTATTTTCTTCTTAGATCTTGATTACTGGGAAGGGTCTTTTGAAGAGGGGGCTTGCAGGAAGCTTGATAACTTCAGTCCCGGGCCAGGGCAGCAACATTGCTGTTTACAAAGGCCTAGATAGAAATCTTGTCTTATTAAGTAGAGACACAGTTAATATATGGACTATCTATATATTACAGCTAAAGAGGGTGAGCCTATTACCCATATGGGAAAGGAAGATGATCTTGTAGCTCAGGAGACAACACAGGATGTTTTATTAGCAGTTTTTCATAGTCAACAGCACTTAGATGAGAAACTCTTTGTAGTTAAAACTACCTGTTGCTTTAGATAAGAGCTCCCAGCTAAGATAGTTAATCTTTCCCTGGAGCCTTCAGGTTTGTTCATCCTATTGTCACCAGCCAGGCTTTTCCTTTCTTTATAAACCCATGGGTTCCTGTATTTTATTTGCTGAGTCTGTCAGTTAGTGAGTTCTTTTGTTTTATCTCTGAGTCCCTGTCATATGGTGAGTGCACTGACTTGGCCTAGCATGAGTTAACTTTGGCCTGCAGCTTTAACAAGAGGTATTTACATAAAACTAGCCTTAAACTAACTTAGTCTACATATGCTTCTGATGCTAATTTGGCTTATACTAACTTAACCTGTATGTTAATTTTGGCTTAAAACAGGCAGGTGGGGGAGTCTCAAACTACATTCCTACAAGATCACTAATTGGCTTTATTGTAATGGTTGGGGGTGATACTTTTACCCTTGCAGGGTACCATAATAACAGTAAAGCTCATGGCAGAGAAATTGAGTGCAGGCCAGTACAGAGACACAATGGGGGGCTCGTAAACCGCAGGCCTTGCCTCGCAGTTTCTTCCCAGTCCAGGCCTTGCCATAGGGATGGGAGGCAGCCTCTTTACCAGCTTATGTTGTCTGCATGGCCCTGTCATTTATTCTTGTATGTTTGAAATGTAAATTTAGTCAGCAATATTAGCAAATTATAACATTAATTTTAACATTGTGAAGCTCTTTTCTAAGTATTAAATACTGGCTATTATCATATTATTCCTTAAGATTGAGTTAGTGAAAACTGTTTAGTTGTCAGAGTGATTGAACTTGTGGTTTTACATCTTTTTCCTGTCTTCTTTTCCTTACCGTTATACTGATCATTGACATATATGTGGGAAGATTCTACTGTGCTTCAGTTTTCTAGTTACATATTTTATCCTCATGCCTGGACTGAAGAATACTAATTCTGTGATAGAAGAGAACAAGCACGATTGAATGATTGAAAAGAATCATGAACTGTTTATCTTTGTCTCAGTACAAAAGACATCATAATTCTGTAAATTAGCATATATAGTTACTGAGAGTGACATAAAAATGTAGACATTATTGGAAATAGAGATTTAGGGTTGTATATTTCAAACTGTCTGTTTTACCTATCTTGGATAATTTAAGTATGTTATGTAAATTCCTAATATTGATTATGTGCACTTGTTCTTAAATGGACAAGATACACAGGATGCAATATACTGTAATTAAAAATGTAGACTTGGAACCAGCAGTTAGTGTAATGGCTATGTTGCCGGACTCCCACGTAGTCGACCGCAGTTCGCATCCCGGACCCAGTGGCTTAAAACTCACGCCGGGAGCGTGTGCGTGCATGCCCAAGATCCCGAGAGGAGAATGGAGGAGAAGGGATTGTGGCTTTACCATCCCCCCTGAGGGGTTATTTCTCACTTTCTGTCTCTATGTCTCTCTCTGTCTGGTGAGCGCACGTGCCCTATAGCGAAAACCTCTCAAAAAAAAAAAAATGTAGACTTTAGCGTCAAGTACGTATGGGATTATTTGTGCACTAGTTTTACCATTTGTTGGGTATTAATCATTTTTTGGTTTTCTTCGATATTTTGCTATAGGGTATATGCATTCACCAGAGAGACACAGAGACAGAAAGCGAGAAATCACCCCCCTCCCCGGGGGATGGGCATACCACAATCCCTTCTCCATTCTCTTCTTGGGATCTTGGTCACATGTGCACAAGCACTCAGCGTGAGTTTTAAGTCACCCAGTCCAGAACTTGAACCACGGTCGACTACATGGGAGTCCAGTGATATAACCATTATGCCATCTGCTGGTCCTGGGTATTGATCTTTGATAAATTTCTCATCATCCTTTGTTTGCTGCTTGTGAAGATCAGTGTGTTAGCATGTACATAGAAATCATTTAACACTGAATACCTGGCAGATGTTCAAGATTTATTTTTCTATGTATTTATTATCTGATTATTGACCCTGAGGAGCAGGTGGTGTTTGTTTAATTTTGTTTCTCATCTCCTGAGGAACATAAATGAAACTTGGAAATTGTTGTGACTTTTTTATATTTATTACTTTCAGTACTTGGTTCACATTAAAACAATTTCTCATGACAGGTTTTACTCCTATCCAATGTTAAGAAACTAGTTCAGAGTACCAGCAAAATAGCTTAGTAGTTACATCACTGAACTCCCATGTAGGCAACCATGATTCTAGTCCTAGACCCGGCGGCTTAAACTCACACTAGGCACATGTGCATGCATTCCCAAGATTCCTAGAAGGGAATGGAGGAGAAGGGATTATGGCATGGACATCCTCCCCTGGGGCGTTATCTCTCTGGCCAGTGCACATGCACTATAGCAAAATTCTCTCAAAAAAAAAAGAAAGAAAGAAAATTAGTTCAGAATAATGTATTTTAAATGTTTGTATCTCTGGACACTCACTTTGCTTTTAGCCATATAAAGTAAAAATAAATTTTTTTATTCCAGATTTAGTATGTTTAGAATAGTCATAGGAAAAGAATTAATTGCATTAAGAAAAAAAACTGCCATTAAACACTATTACAGGTAACATTTGAGGGAAAAAAATAACATGGGGTTTTTTTTTTGTTTGCTTTTTGGCAGCGTTCTGCACTAGGTCCAAATGTTACCAAAATCACTCTAGAATCTTTTCTTGCATGGAAAAAAAGGAAAAGACAAGAAAAGATCGATAAACTTGAACAAGATATGGAAAGAAGGAAAGCTGACTTCAAAGCAGGGAAAGCATTAGTGGTATGTCTCAGATTCACCCAAATTGATACTTTATTCTTTCTTCCATTTATAATTTCTTTATCATTCATGCTTTTGTCCTGCACTAATATATTTATGTGTCTGACTAGATCAGTGGTCGTGAAGTGTTTGAATTTCGTCCTGAACTGGTCAATGATGATGATGAAGAAGCCGATGATACCCGTTACACCCAGGGAACAGGTGGTGATGAGGTAAAAGAAAGCTTTGCATCTCTTCTCCTTACGTTAATGAGAAAACAATAGGTAGAAAAGAGGATAGCAATGTTAAGAGCCAGGAACGTAGGAACTAGAGTAATCTCAGTTCAAATCCTTAATTCATCTGTGGGAAATGACTCGCTCTAGGCCTCCACTATAATCTGTAGTAGGAGATAATGATAATCTTTACATCACATGGTGCTTGTGTAAGAGATATGAGTTAATAAATTAATAGTTCTTCATAGATAGTGCCTGGTATATGATTCATTTAACTGCTTAAAGTATGTTTTTATCCTCCCTCTAAAAGAAAAAAGTCTTATTTAGTATTTTATGTCATAAAATAGGGATGGAGAACTAATTTAAAAATATAGAGTAAAACCATATACTCTTTTGATTGAAGGCAAATTTAGTAATGGATAACTTACTCATCTTCTATGTAAGTTATAAAATTTTGGCTTCCGAGTTGAAAGAGAATGTTATGCTCCGTATGTAAAAATGTGTTGTTAGAAAGAAGCTTTAACTATCATAGTGCTATTTTTTTCCATGAAGTTTAGATAAAAAAGTGAATTTTGCAGTAGCCAACCATTTTTTCATTTGGTATGAATGATAATTTGTTATATTAATAAATGTCCAAGGTAAAAGACGAGTAATTTATGAAAAGTTGCTATTTCTAATTGTTTTCTTTTCTGTGTGTTGTTAAAGGTTGATGATTCCATGAGCGTAAATGACATAGATTTAAGCTTGTATATCCCAAGAGATGTAGATGAAACAGGTATTACTGTAGCCAGCCTTGAACGATTCAGCACATATACTTCAGATAAAGATGGTAAGTATGCTAACTTTTACATAATTCTTAGAACTGTCTAAAGTGGTTTAAGCCAAGGTTGGCAAACTTGGATGTCTGCAGGTACCAGTTTAGTAACACTCATGTGTGGTTTGACCATGTATTAAACTAGTATAGTAGAGACTGGGTAGATAGTGAAATTATTGGGTTGTCAGGAAAGTCATGATGCATTTTTGCATAGAAAAACAGAGACCAATATGTCATGACTTTTCTGACAACCTAAGTAATTGAAACTAAAAGGGGAGAAAAATGAATTTGGAGATACAGTTATTGAGCAGTTTGAGACCTCATGGATTTGAGATCTTTTTAGTTATCAACGGTGCCATTAATTCTAGAATATTGTGTAGCCATTTGCCAGAGAAAACAGTTTAAAAATCATGTGCATTGGTAGCTCAAAGTGAATGAACTCACCCATGCACAGTTTGAAGAACGTTGTGGAACACCCTGCAGACTTCATTGTTTTAGGGTAGGTGAAAGAGGGAATGCTTAAGAAAGACTCAAGTCAAAGAAAAATTAAGAAACAGTTTTAGAAAAAGAAGTAGGATAAAAATTACAAATACTTCATTAGTTACAATTAGGTGTAGAGTTTTGGAATAGGGTGCCAGTTTTCATCAAGACTGAAGTGATTCTAAGACTGAGAGACTAAATTAGTATAGACCACTCTCTCTGAGAGGGAGACCTGGTCATGGGAAGGGCATTTTAGGATATGAGAAATCTGAATATATCTGTAGGCCTGAGGGAAAGCCTGGTAGAAGAGAACTGAAGATGAAAACTTAGTTATAGAAACAAGCCTTAAAAGTTTAAACAATGAGTATAAGAATGGGGAGAAGGTTGCCTTAGGTGTATATGGAGGTGACTGTTGGTATAATGTATGTCTTATTTGCCCTGAGTGAGGGGTTAAAAGAGAAGGATAAAAGTTAGGCATGCCTGCTGTAGGAGAAAAAGACATAAAGAAATACTAAATAAAGGCAAAAGCAGACTAAAAGAAGGATAGTAATTATTTTTACAATAAAAAACACAAGCTTAAGTTTTTTGCCATAGGGCACATGCAG